CAGAGTACGTTACTCGAGTTGACAAATTTGGAACGTGAAAAGGTAAGGTAATATTATATATACATATAATATTATATTTAATATTTTATTTAGAAAGAGATAAACTCAGATAAACTATATATGTATGTACATGCATACATCTAACCTTGATACAAGCTTTCGAATCACATTTTCTACTTACCTCTCGTGTCCATCACCCACAATGAATTATTTTCTTGTAACGGTGTTCCATTATCATTGGTTATTAACATATGCACATCTTTGATTAATTTTAGTGCCATTTTAGGGAAATGAAGTCGTTACTTTAGAGACCGTTCGAACGGGACGTGTGCGTCTCGCTTCGTGTGTTGCATCATCTCAATATTCAAATTTCGTTTGCCGCACTTACTCTTTCAACCCACCTCGGAAGCAGGGTTCATAGAGTTGACTCCGAGGTAGGTTTACTCATACTTTTAGAACGAATAGGCTCCGCCCATATGGTCAGTTACCTCGCGTTTTGGAACGGCGTAGAGTTAAACTCTGTTACTCGGAGTGAATTTTGGAACGCACCCCAGGAAAGTTATTACATAAGTATAAACATAACCTTACGTTAGATGCGAGGTCTACAATGTGATAATATTAATTAATATATACTTGCAGAATTTGATGTATTCATTATTTCTTAAATTTTTGCTGATATAAACAGACCACAATTGAAACTAAGAACGATTTAATTATGGAATTAACTTGAACTTTGATGAAGTGAAGAGAGAATACACTGACTTATATGAATACACACATACATTGATAATATCGCGTAATACGCCAAAAGTAAAATTCGTACTTGCTTTTGGCGTAAAACGCGAAACTAATATCGTTTTCGATTGCGGTGCACTAGCTGCACTCAGTGTCAAGAGCGTGTTCGATTGGCAATGGCTGCGTTCAGCAGAACGTTTGTTTTGCAACTGTTGGAAGTTTCCTTCGCGCTGATTGGATCATACTTTTAGATCTAGAAGAATGGTCCTATCTCAGCAGACAATCATAAAACGGTTGCAAAACTGTTGAGTCTGCTGAACGCAGCCAATGCCAATGCGCACTTAGCTAGTGACACGTGTTCATTTGACCGCACGACACTCGCGTAATGCGCACTCAGTGCGCACTAAGTGGCACGAGATATTTTGACGGTGCCAGTCCAGTGCACTGGATACATATATAGGATATCAGTGCATCGTTTTATCACATGAAAGGATATACAGTAGGGACAAGCAAATCTGTAATTTATAGCATGCAAATGTGTACAATTATTGATAAGTATGTACATATAT